GGACAGAGATAGACAGACAGGAACAGAGACGGGCAGACAGAAGAAAAGGGAGAGGAAGTAAAAAAAAGGAAAGAGGAGGAAGAAAGATAGTAAAAACGGAGCGAAGAAAAGAGGGAAGAAGGTAAGGGACAGGAAGAGACAGATGAAGAGAGAGAAATAGTGGAGGAAAAGCGATAAGAAGATAAGACGAAAGAAGTAAATGATAGAGGAAGAGAAAGGGAACAGGAGGAGAGGAGAGAGAAAAAAGAGTCAGGGGAAAGAAAGTAGAATGAGAAAGAGAATAAAGATGAGAAGCAATTGGAAGGAGAGAAGTAGAAGGGAGATCCAAAATAAAAGATAGAGGGAAAAAGAGGGGAAGGGGAAGATGGCGATCTTTCGTGTGTTTCCATCTCATTTCGAGAAAATTAAAAAAAAATAAGCAAATAGGATACGGATTTTTTTTTTTTTTTTTTTTTTTTTTTTTTTTTGTAGTATTTTAAATATGTAGCGTAGGGAGAGAAGGAGGAAAAGAAGAATTGAAGGAAAAGCATGAGCAAGAGACAGAGCAATAGAGATGAAGAAGTGACACAGAGAGTGACAGGTAGGCAGACAGACAGGCAGAAACGGGGAGGTCTTCTCCTAGTTTCCTCCTTCCCTTTCTCTTCTCATCTTCCTGCTTCCTCCTCTTGTCACTCTCTTCCAATCACCTCCCCCCCCCCCTCCATTCACCCCCCCCTTTCCCCTCATTTCAATCAAACTTCAGCTGTTCTTTTTCCTTCACTTCCCCCCATTCTTCCCTCCGCCTCACTTCCCCCCCCCCTCACGCTACCTTCCTCGTCCCCTCACTCTCCATCTCTGCCACTCCCTCCTTTCCCTTCTCTTTCTCCATTCCCCTCATCTTCCCCCCCACGAAGTTCGCCCCAAAGCCCACGAGTCACGCCCCCCCGCCCCCCCCGACCCCCGCCCCCCCCCGCCGTCCCCCGCCCCCCCCCCCACGCCCCCACGAAGCAGCGCCCTTCCCCCACGCGCCCCCACCACGCAAGCCCACCCCCCTTTCCAGCCAAAGCCACGCCCCCTTCCCCCCGCCCCCGACCACCCACGCCCCCCCCCACGAAGCCACGCCCACCAAAGTCGTCTCCCCCACGCCCCCACGAAGCCGCCCACGCTCCCGCCCCCACGAAGCCACGCCCACCCGCCCCGCCCCCACAAAGCCACGCACGCCGCCCCACGAGCCCTCAGGCTATATGAGGCGAGGAGAGAGGGCGATAGCGTCTGGCGTAAACATTCTCTCTTTCTCTTTCTGTTTTGTTTCTGTTTTATTTTCCTCGCGGCCTGAAAGGAAGAACGGATAAGTGAAACGATAAAAATCAAAGAGAACTACAACGAGGGAAAAAAAGAATAAAAGAAAAGAAAAGAAAATAAAGAAAAAAAAAATGAAGAACCTAAAAAGAAGAAAAAAAAGAAGAAAAAAAGTCGATAAAAATGAAGAAAAATGAATACATCCTCGCATGACTCATACATACCTGCCACGCCCTCTACACACACTGCCACCATCCTCTCCATCCCAGTACCAAGCCCGCCGATACCTCTTACCAAAGCCGAGGAGGTACACGCCGTCCCAGTTCTGAAAGTATTCGCCCGCTACTAAAGCTTTATAAACTAGATAATATCGCCCTGATCATATCATTAAGGCACGGCGATGGAATGCGACAAGACACTCAGCCGTCAATAGAATGATCGTCGACAGCGGTGACGGGGAACAGAATGGAAGGAAGACGAGATAAGTGCGTGCGTGAGCGTTGGATCCCAACTGGCGCGGTCTCGACGTGCATCTGCCGCGGCGGACGAGGACAAGGGCTCATGGCGGGCTCTGCGGTCGGAGGCGCTCGAGAGACGGCGTTCTCGTCGGATTCGTGTGTCAGTTTGCATCCACCCTCACACGCACGCACACATACATACATACATACGTACGCATACATACATGTGTGTGTGTGTGTGTGAGTATACGTACGTGCGTGCGTGCCTCAGACGCGCCCACCGTGAATCAGTGTCTTGGGCGCCTCAACGGGCGAGGGAGCGCGGCGGCGCCTCCGCCTCCCTCGCTGGCTCCTCCGGGCGCGAGCCAGCGGCCCCTTGACAGGTCCGTTTTTTCTCCTGCTGGCCGCCTACGCCCTCTGTGTCCGCCATTCACAGCTGGAGGAAAGACATTTACGCTACGGGAGCGCTCGCACGCACAAACACATTCAGACACAAATTCACACACACAAATGCACGCACGCACAAGCGTGCACACACAGTCGCATACACGCACAAAACATATTTATAGATAGGTATAGATGTATGGATGTATGTGTGTATTTGTACAAATAGATAAATAGACATATATATATATATATATATATATATATATATATATATATATATATATATATATATTATATACATATATATACATATATATACATATTATATACATATATAATATTATAATATAATATATATTATATATATATATATAATATATATAATATATAATATGAATATATGGATATAAAGATACAAACGTAGATGTAGATATAGATGTTTAGATATAAAGATGTAAATATAGATGTAGATGTAGTTATATAGATATAGATGTTTAGGCAAATAGACAGAAAGATAGATTAGTAAATTGATAACAATATGTATATGACATTTTTCCGATTTCACAAAAGGAAAAGAAATGTGACATGCAGATACACATAAAAATAGTGAATCTGGAGGTATATTTAAAATAAGAAAAAATAAATTGAAAATGACAAATGGAAATAGGGATAACGAAAAATAAATTTCAAGAAATCACTGGCAACTCAACCCGGCTTCTGACGAACTCCGATTCGTTTTACTTATTTGCTCATTAACTTTTCTTCTTCTTTTTTTAATTCTTCTAAGCATTCGAATTTCTGAAAAGTTATTGCTATTATTTTACACTATTTTTTTTTATTTATATTTTTATTGTTTTTTTTTTTTGTAAAAAGAGACTTGGCGAATCAGAATACTCCAGCGTCCTGCGTGAGTTGCCAGGTCTTTCTTTTTTAAGACTGGAAGTAGAATAGGCGAGCATTTAGCAACAGAATTAACAAATAGATAAAAGAACGAGAAAGGAAACAGATGAACACATTCTTCACAAGACAGCAAACAGTTAGATAAACATAAAATAAAGGAATTAAACATTTCTTTCTTTTCTTTCCTTTGGACAGCTATATGCAGGAAGTCTGATAGGGAAATAACTTAATTTACTTTTTTTCTCTTGATTTCGGTTAGTTATTTAATGCTTTTCCCTTTTATCCTAGAAAATAGACAGGTGAATAAATACGCCAGTGTGTTATCCTTTTCTTCTTTTTACTTTAGACGTCAAACGTGAATTCCCTTTCCCATTCCTTTTTTCGCAAGACAAGATTGAAAGACAGAGAAGTAAGCTAATGTTTTGCTCTTTTCCCGCGAAACACCAAAGAGCAAATCCCTCATTTTCTTTTATTTTTGATAGACGAAAATGGAAGCCTTTTTCCCAGGCGCCAAAGAGGAAGTCACTCATTTTCTTCTATTTTTGATAGACGAAAATGGAAGCTTTTATCCCCAGGCGCCAAAGAGCAAATCCCTCATTTTCTTCTATTTTCGATAGACCAAAATGGAAGCCTTTTCCCCAGGCGCCAAAGAGCAAATCCCTCATTTTCGCTGAATTATCATTTTTTTTCCTCCTTGTTCACTCGCCAAACAGAAAGGCAAACGCGCAAACTAACGCGCTTGTGTGAAAGTGTGTGTGTGTGTGTGTTGTGTGTGGTGTGTGTGTGTGTGGTGTTGTGTGTGTGTGCTGTGTGTGTGTGTGTGTGTGTTGGTGTGTGTGGGTGTGTGTGTGTGTGTGTGTTGTGTGTGTGTGGTGTGTGTGTGTGTGTGTGTGTGTGTTGTGTGAAGTGTGTGTGTGTTGTGTGTGTAGTGTGTGGTGTGTGTAGGTGTTGTGTGTGTGTGTGTGTGTGTGTGTGTGTGTGTGTGTGTGTGTGTGTGTGTGTGCATGTGTGTGTATGAAAAGGTAAATGCATGAGCTCTGACGTTTTTTTTTTTTTTTTTCCAGGCGTCAAAGATAAATTCCATTTCCCCTTCCTTTTTGCGAGACGAAATAGAAAGGCAGATATATATATAATCTAATGTTTTGCTCTTTTCCCCTGAAACACCTAAGATGAATTTCCTTTTTTCAGCCCTTTTTTCGCTAGACAATATAGGAAGGAAAACACATGCACGAATGTTTTGCCTTTTTTCCCTGACGCCAATTTTTTTCTTCCCATTTTCCCCTCCTTTTCACTAGACAATATAGGAAGACAAATACATGTGCTAACTTATTGCTCTTTTTTCCCCCCAAGACGCTAAAAATGAATTCCAAATTTCTTCTCCTTTTCACTGGGCAATATAGAAAGGCAAATGCATAAGCTAATGTTCTGCTCTTTCCCTTTTCCCTTCTGTTACACTAAACAAAATAGGTAAACACATCACCGAACGTTTTGCTCTTTTCCCCTAGACGCCAAAAATGAATTCCTTCTTCCCCTCCTTTTCGCTAGACAAAATAGAAAGACAAACTGATCAGTTAACGTTTTGCCCTTTTCCCCCAGACGCCAAAGATGAATTCCCTTTTCCCCCAGACGCCAAAGATGACCTCCCTTCCGCCAAAGATGAATTCCCTTTTCCCCCAGACGCTAAAGATGAATTCCCTTTTCCCTTCTATCACACTAAACAAAACAAAAAGGCAAACACATCAGCTAACGTTTTGCCCTTTTCCCCCCCAGACACCAGAGATGAGTTCCCTTTTCCCCCAGACGCCAAAAGAAAATTCCCCTTCCCCTTCTTTTTCTCTAACGTTTTTCCCCTTTTTCCGACAAGAGATGATTCCCTTTTCCCCCTTTTTCATAAGTCTCTCCCCTTTTCCCCCAGACGCCAAAAATGAATTCCCCTTCCCCTTCTTTTCCTCTAACGTTTTTCCCCTTTTCCCCCAGACACCAGAGATGAGTTCCCTCCCGTTGCTGGCGAAGATATGGATCGCCTTGGCCGTTTTGGGCGCCGCTTCCTCAGAGCTGGTGGAGCTCTCCTACACCTTCAACCTCGACGCCCCGACCTCGCCCAAACTCACGCCATTTTCCCATCGGATTGTGAGGAAGGGCGTGAACAAATATGGATTGTGGTAAGGTTGCGTGTTGGGGGAGGGAAAGAGAGGGGAGGGAGAGGGAGAAGAGAAAGAGAGGAAAGAAGGAGGAGAGAGAGAGAGGAGAGAGAGAGAGAGAGAGGAGAGAAGAGAGAGAGAGAGAGAGAGAGAGAGAGAGGAAGAGACGAGAGAGAGAGAGAGGGAGAGGGAAAGAAGGAGAAGATGAAGGAGTAGGGAAAAGGACGGGAGGAGGAGAGAGATAAGAGAGGGAGAGAAAGAGAGAGAAGAGTTGAGAGGATGCAGGAGAGCGGCGGTGTGATGAGAGGGAGAGTCTGGGTGACGGGGGAGAGAGAAGAAAGGAGATGTACAGCGAGAGAGGAGAGAGAGAAGAGAGAGAGGAGATGAGTGGCGCAGAAGGAGTGAGAGCGAGAGAGGAGGTAGAGAGTAGAGAGATGGACAGGAGGGAGAGAGAGAGAGAGAGTGGAGAAAGAAAGGATCACGAGAGTGAGGAGAGGGAGAGAGAGAGGAGACGAGAGGGAGAGGTGAGGAGAGATGAGGAAGTCAGAGAGGCCGAAGAGGAGGGAGAGGAGAGAAGAGAGAGAGATTAAGAAGAGGCGAGAGAGGATCGTACGGATGGTGAAGAGAAGAGAGGGAGAGAGAAGAGAGGAATCGAGGAGAATCGACTGGAGGGGGAGAAGGAGGGGATGTGAGTGAGGTAAGGGGTGGAGAAAGGACCTGAGAGGGGAGATGATGGAAGGGAAGAGATCTGGATGAGTGGGAGGGAAGGAGAAGAATGAGAGAGGTGATGAGAGCGAGAGAGAGAGAGGACACGAGAGAGACGAATGCAGAGAGTGGGTACGACCCGAGAGAGAGACAGGAGAGATGAGAGGAAAGACGAACAGAGTGCCAGACAGACCATGGACGAGAGAGAGGGAGGGTGAGAAGAAAGGATGTCGAGAGGTAAAGACACGAGAGAGGGAGGCCGCTGAGAGAGAGGCGAGAGAGAGATGGAGAGAGAGAGAGAGGAGATGGAGTGGAGACAGGAGATGGAGAGAAGGTTTGAACAGAGAGGAGAGGAAGGAGGAGGAGGAGAGCGGGGAAAGAGAGGAGGGTACTGGGAAGGAGACCGGAGAGATGAGAGAGAGGGGGGGCGACGATGAAAGATGAGAGAGAGAGAAGATGATGGAGAAGCGGAGCAAGAGGAGAGAGGAGAGGAGAGAGAGATTGAGGAGGAGAGAGAGGAGAGGAGAGAGAGAGGAGAGTGGAGAGTGAGAGGAGGGAGAGGAGGGAGAGACTGAAGGAGAAGAGAGCGGAGAGGGAGAGGGAGGAAGAGGAAGAAGTAGGCGAGGAGAGAGGGGAGAGAGAGAGCGGAGAGGAGGAAGGGATGAGATAGAGCGAGGAGAAGGAGAGAGGGAGGGAGAGAGTGAGATGGACAGAGATGTAGGGAAGGAGAGAGAGAAGAGGAGAGGAGAAGAGAGAGAGGAGAGAGAGAGAAGGAGAGAGACGACGAGGAGAGATGGAGATGGACGAAAGAGAAGAAGAGAAGGAGAAAAGAGGAGAAGGAGAGAGTAGTAACAGACAGACAGACAGACAGAGAGAAAGAGAGAGGAGACGGAGAGAGAGAGAAGTAACCAGACAGACAGGACAGAGAGGCACAGGAGGAAGAAGAAGAAAAAGAGAGGGGTGGTAGAAGAGAGAAAGGTGAGAGAGAGGAAAAGAGGGGAGAGAAGGTGAGGAGGGAGAGGAGAGAAGAGAGAGATTAGAAGACTATCAGACAGACAGGACAGATGAAGCCGGGGGGTCGGTGTTGAAAGGGAAAAAATAAGGAAAATTAGAGGGGGAGAGGATGTGGGGAGAGAGGGAGAGAGACGAAGAGAGAGAGAAGAAGAGATGAGCGAGAGAGCAGAGGGGAGAGAGAGAGAGAGAGAGAGAGAGGGAGATGTGATTACTCCACCAACTACCTCACGCCCTGCCCCCTGCACCAGCCTTTCCAGTCCTACTCTCATCCATGAACCGAGACGACCACTCTGACCCACTGACCTCCGCGACCCAGGCGAGAGGAGACAAGCGGGCGGATGAAGATCCGACCCCGGGTCACGTCCCGAGGAGCGCATCGACGATACGGATGGACGAACGATGAGAGATGAAGACCGTATATGAGAGCGATCAGAGACAGAGAGAGTGTCGCTGACGAGACAGGAGTATGCCTGAGATTGCTTCCCTTCTACCGAGCCTGGCTCCGGAGCCCGAGAGACGATGATGGAGTAGCCATACGATCGGACTGAGAGAGCTCCTACTGGAGGCGACTTCCGACTGACGCCGACGCGAGGTTGACACACGCCGACGAGAGTGATGTCGAGACGCACTGCGAGAGATGAATGAGAGGTATAACAGACATGACAGACTGCGACGAGCGAGAGAGAAAGAAAAGAGAGACGGCAGAGAGCACAAGGGATGTGGAGACGATAGATGAGACGGACTATCAGACATGACAGACATATGAAGAGCGCGAAGAGCGAAAAAATTAAGAAATAGATGAGCAGCCGGGCGGAGAGAGAGAGTAGAGAACGAGAGGAGAGAGAGAGGAGAGAGAGCAGGAGAGAGATTCGATCTCCGAGAGAGAAGGAAGAGTAGAGAGATCAGACAAGCAAGAGAGAAGAGAGAGAGAGAGAGTGGGCATGAGAGAGAGTGGGGAGCGGAGAGAAGAGAGATAAAGCACTGAAAGAAAAGAAGACAGAAAGAGAGGGATTTACACAGTTTCAAGGGAAAAAAAGAGAGAGAAAGACAAGGAAAAGAGAGACAAAGAGGAAAGGGAAAATCCCCCCCCCCATTTCACCTATTATGGCTGGGAGGAGAATGGAGTGTTTATCTTTATGAAGGGATTTTTTGAAAATCTATTTTCCTATCCGTATATCTGTCCTTTCCACCATCACCATTTCTTAAATTGGCAAGTATTGATCACGAAACCGAAAAAATAACCAGGTATTTATTATCCTTATCCTTATCAATATTTTGCCCCCCCCCCCACTCACATTCCCCCTCTCCATTTTAATTTTATAGAAAAGTATGAATAAATAATAATGACTTAAATTCAAGTATTTCCTTAGATTCTAGGGGTATGTAAAAAAAAAAAAAAAAAAAAAAAAAAAAAAAAAAAAAAAAAAAAAAACATTTTTGTGATTTCATGTATTTAGTTATTGTCTGTCTTTGAGTGATTAGTGCCAGTACAGACACTGCTAACAACTGGTGAAAGTGCCACGCCTCAACCGGAGTCTGGATTTAAAGGCCGGTTTGTTGAAATTGGTCCGGTGAATATTCATTATACGGACATGCATAAACAGAAATAACTACATTTCTATCGGTCTAGACATGCATAATAACTGGATAAATAGAGAGATAAATGTATCTCTATCAGGTAGACAAAATGCTTTTATTTCTGCGTAATGCATGTCCGTACATATGAATATCAATCGGGTCGGGCCTCGCACAGCATCAACAAACTGCTAATCTTCCCTAAACTCAGCGGATTTCGACCCCTTAACTAATCCAAACTAACCTGACTTGACCTCCCTTCCTCAGGGTCGAAATGACTTGACCTCCCTTCCTCAGGGTCGAAATGACTTGACCTCCCTTCCTCAGGGTCGGAATGACTTGAACCTCCTTCCTCAGGCTCGAAATGTACTTGACTTCCTTCCTCAGGGTCGAAATGACTTGACCTTCTTCCTTCGAAATGACTTTGTACCTCCTTCCTCAGGGTCGAAAAGCTTGACCTTCCTTCCCGCAGGGTGAAATGACTTGACCTCGGCTTCCTGCAGGCTCGAAATTGCACTTTGACCGTGCCTTCGCCCGAGGGTTCCGAAATTTGAAAACTTGACCTCCCTTACTCAGGTCTCGAAATGACTTGACCTCCCCTTCTCACGGCTCGAAATGAATTGACCTTCCTATCCTTCAGGGTCGAAATGGCCTTGAGCCTCACTCGAAATGGACTTGACCTGCGTCCCTTACCTCAGTTTCGAAATGACTTGACCTTTCCTTCCTCAAGGCTCAATGACTTGAACCCTCGCCTTCCTCAGTTTCGAAATGACTTGACACTTGCACTTTCCCCAGGGTCGAAATGAACTTTGACCTCCGCTTCCTCAGGCTCGAAAATGCGACTTATGACCCCACCACCTTCCTCGGGTCGAATTACTTTGACCTCCCTTCCTCAGGCCTCGAAAAATGGACTGACCTCGCCTTCACCCGAGGGATCGAAATGACTTGACCTCACCTTCCTCAGGCTCCGAAATGACTTGACGCTCCCTTCCTCAGGCCGAAATGACTTGACCTTCCTTCTCAGGCTCGAAATGACTTGACCTCGCCTTCCTGCAGGCTTCGAAATGACTTAGGACCTCCTTCCTCAGTTATCGAAATGACTGACCTTCCTTCCTCAGCTCGAAATGACTTGGACCGCCCGAACCCGCCGCTACCTCCTCTTCCTCAGTTTCGAAAATGACTTGACGCTTCCTTCCCCAGGGTCGAAAATGACTTGACCTCCCTTCGGCTGCAAGGCTCGAAATGACTTGACCTCACCTTCCCTCAGGCTCGAAATGAACTTGAACCTCCCCTTCCCCAGGGTCGAAATGACTTGACCTCCCTTCCTCAGAGGCTCGGGAATGACTTTGACGCTCCTTCCTCAGTTTCGCGAAATGACTTGACTCACCTTCCTCAGGCTCGAAATGAATTGAGCATCCCTTCCTCAAGTTTCGAATGAACTTGACCTCCTTCCCTCAGGGTCGAAATGACTTTGACCTCACCTCCTCAGCTCGAATTGAACTTTGACTCCGCTTCCTCAGTTTCGAAATGACTTGACCTGCCTTCCTCAGGGTCGAAATGACTTGACCTTCCTTCCTCAGGCTCGAAATGACTTGACCTCCCTTCCTCAGGCTCGAAATGACTTGACCTCCCTTCCTCAGGCTCGAAATGACTTGACCTCCCTTCCTCAGGGTCGAAATGACTTGACCTCCCTTCCTCAGGGTCGAATGAACTTGACCTCCCTTCCTCAGTTTCGAAAATGACTGACCTGCCTTCCTCAGGGTCGAAATGAACTTGAACCTTCCCCTTTCCTCAGGCTCGAATGACTTGACCTCCTTCCCAGTTTCGAAATGACTTGACCTGCCTTCCTCAGGGTCAATGTAAACTTGACCTCCCTTGACCTCACGGCTCTGTATATATGTATTCTTGAAACCCTCCCTTCCTCAGGCTCGAAAATGACTTGACCTCCCTTCCTTCAGGGTCGAAATGAACTTGAACCTTCCTTCCCTCAGTTTCGAAATGACTGACCTGCCCTTCCTCAGGTCGAAAGACTTGACCAACCTTCCTCAGGGTCGAAATGACTTGACCTCCCTTCCTCAGGGAACGAAATGAACTTGACCTCCCTTCTCAGGCTCGAAAATGACTTGCCTTCCTATCCCCAGGGTCGCAAATCAATGAACCGGAGCAATCCCCTTCCTCAGGGGTCGGAAATGACTTGACCCTTGCTGTTCCTTCCCTCAGGCTTCTGAAGATGATCTGGATGTGCGAGAGTTACAACATGGTCCTAGTCGATATTGTGTGTTCGCGGAAAAATGACTTGACCTGCCCTTTTCCGCTCTATTGGGAGTCGAAGATAAGACATGACCGATCCCATCCTCCACGAAAAGTAGTACGAAAATGACTTGACCTTCCTTCCTCAGGGTCGAAATGACTTGACCTTCCTTCCTCAGGCTCGAAATGACTTGACCTCCCTTCCTCAGGCTCGAAATGACTTTGGAACTTCAGGGTCGGAAATTGACCTCCCTTCCTTCGAGACTTGACCTCCTTCTTCGAAATGACTTGACCTCCTCCTCAGGTCGAAATGACTTGACCTCCCTTCCTCAGGCCTTCCTTCCTCAGGCCGAAATGACTTGACCTCCTTCCCAGGGTCGAAATGACTTGACCTTCCTTCCTCAGGGTCGAAATGACTTGACCTTCCTTCCTCAGTTTTTCGACAATGTGACTTGACCTCCCCTCCTCAGGGTTCGAAAATGACTGACGCTCCCTTCCTCCAGGCCGAAATGACTTGACCTCCCTTCCTCAGGCTCGAAATGACTTGACCTCCCTTCCTCAGGCTCGAAATGACTTGACCTTCCTTCCTCAGGCTCGAAATGACTTGACCTTCTTCCTTCCTCGAGACTTGACCTCGAAATGACTTGACGAATGACTTGACCTCCCTTCCTCAGGTCGAAATGACTTGACCCCCTTCCTCAGGCTCGAAATGACTTGACCTCCCTTCCTCAGGGTCGAAATGACTTGACCTCCCTTCCTCAGGGTCGAAATGACTTGACCTCCCTTCCTCAGGGTCGAAATGACTTGACCTCCCTTCCTCAGGTCGAAATGAACTCTGACCTTCCTTCCTCAGGGTCGAAAATAACTTGACCTCCCTTCCTCAGGTCGAATCTGACCTCTGAAATGACTTGATTCCTTCCTCAGGGTCGAAATGACTTGACCTCCCCTTCCTTCAGGGTCGAAATGACTTGACCTGCCTTCCTCAGGGTCGAAATGACTTGACCTCCCTTCCTCAGGGTCGAAATGACTTGGTTCCTTCAGGGTCTGACTTGACCTCCTTTCCTCAGGGTCGAAATGAACGACTTCAGCGCCAGCGAGCACTCCGGCACCCACATCGACGCCCCTGTCCACTTCTCCGAGCGCGGCTGGACGCTCGACTCCGTCCCCATCAGGAGGCTGTGGCGAGTTCCTGGTGAGTGGGAGCGGAGGAGGAGGAGGAGGAGGTGGTGGAGGAGGAGGAGGAGGAGGAGGAGGAGAAGGAGGATGAAGAAAAAGAAGAAGAAGAAGAAGAAGGCCCACGAAGCCTTTCGGGTTTCACTCGTTGACCGTTGAGAGTAAGGACCCGCTGAGAGTAAGGACCGCTTGAGAGTAAGGACCGTTGAGAGTAAGGAACCGCTGAGAGTAAGGACCGTTGAGAGTAAGACCGTTTCAGACGCGTCCGTTTTCGACTTCCAATGGGTTCGACTTGTGCTCTCTGCCGCTAACGCCGTCGCTCATTGAAAATGGGTTTCTTTCAGATACGATTCTTTTGGCGTCCGATGTGGAGTGGAGAAAGCCGCGCAGTAGCCGTCCTATTGTTATATTTGAGGGGATGTTAGAGAGGTAAATGGCAAGGTAAATGTGCAACTGGACAACATTTTCACGCCGTGGACAGGGAAGAAAAAACGACTCCTGTAGAAAAATGGTCACTCTGAAGCTATCATGGCTCTGAGAGGCCTTTTGATTTAAAGCTAAAGGTACAAGAATTGCCAACCATTATTTGCTCTGGTCCTCAGGAGACACATAACTGTAATATACCACCGACACACATCTAAAGGTGAAAAGGTCACATGGTACTGTTTATGCTAGTGTTAAGATGTGTCATGATGGAATATGTTGGTGGTAATCAAAATGTTAGTGACAGATAATTTATGTGGGTAATCACTCGCTGCAACTTACCAGACAGACAACATAAATACCCTTATATTACTGTCAACAGCTGCACATCTGCATAAATGTCTAGCCGCTTATGGAATGGCTACCTACAAACAAACAAACAAACAAAACCAGGGCTTAATCCAGGTCTTATGAGATATGTCAGTCAAATATATTCAAATCAGACGCATTTTCCTTGGCGCTAAGAGTTTAAATGCTGTCTTTGAAATTACGAAACAACAGCACAACTAAATATGCTAATTATGCCAAAGGGTCAGGATAGATTTGGTATATTCGGCATAAGTATGATGCATGATAGGATGCAGATAAGATGCAAAATCCTTGTTAGTGCAATCATCATTATCAATATATATTATGATCATCATTATCATTCTTATCAAAATCATTGTTAATATGATTATAATTATCATTATTATCAGGTATTATTATTGTTGTTATTGTTGTTATGATTCTCATTATCATTATTATCATCATTATTATTATCGTATTACTGTAATGATCATAATAATTATTATCGTTATTATTGTTAATATTATTATTACTGCTTTTAACATTATTATTACTATCATTAATATTATAATCATTATCATTATCATTACTATTAGTAGTAGTAGCAGTAGTATCATTATTATTATCATTATCACTAGTATTAGTATTAGTATCATTCCTTTTTTTTCTTGATGAGATATTAAATTCATTTGATTGTATCCGGAAACACTTTTGCCCAAATAAGGAAGAATGAATATTATTGCTTAAAAAGTGATGTTTGGCAACTCGACTGATGATGTATACTTCATAAGGGACTGATGTATAAAATTGTATGGAACTCCCTGTTGTCGTTCTGGAAAACTTATAAATTGTACATATTATATTGAAATGAGCTCGCATGATGTTCCTTCTATTGTGCTTTATAAAACAATATGTTTACAATATTCATACTATGTAAATTATTTATTAGGTTGCAAATTATTTCTCTCTCTCTCTCTCTCTTTCTCTCTTCTCTCTCTCTCTCTCTCTCTCTCTCTCTCTCTCTCTCTCTCTCTCTCTCTCTCTCTCTCTCTCTTCTCTCTTCTCTCTCTCTTTCCTATTTTTGAGATTAGTGGTTTTCACGGAACAAACTTCAAGATTCATTAGCAGAGTAGAAGTGCACATTTGTTTACTGCTGTACTTGGTACCTTGTGGCATGCTAAGTATAACAATTCTACAATTACCAAGATTATGATATTTCTTAGATGTATTCATAACGTAGTAATTTATTATTACTTATTTACGAATGCTGTTGGCAGCCGACCGGAAGCTCTAGCACCTGTTATATTGGCTGTGTACATTATTATGAATGCTATATACATACATATTATACTACATATATATATACATAATATATATATTATATTTACATATATATATATATATATATATTATATATATATATACATATATATATATTCATACATATATACATTATATATATATATATATATATATATATATATATATATTATATATATATATATATATATATTATATATATCCATCTCTCTCTCTCCCTCCTCTCTTCCTCCTCCATTCCCTCCTTCCCTCCCTCCCCCCTTCTCCTCTTCTCTCTCTCTTTCTCTTTCTCTCTATCTCTCTCCCTCCCCCTCCTTCCCCTCCCTCTCTCTCTCTCCTCTCTCTCTCTCTCTCTCTCTCTCTCTCTCTTCTCTCTCTCTTCTCTCTCTCTCTCTCTCTCTCTCTCTCTCTCTCTCTCTCTCTCTCTCTCCCTCCCTCTTCTCTCTCTCTCTCTCTCTCTCTCTCTCTCTCTCTCTCTCTCTCTCTCTCTCTCTCTCTCTCCCTCTCTCTCTCCTCTCTCTCTCTTCTCTCTCTCTCTCTCTCTCTCTCTCTCTCTCACTCTCTCTCTCTCTGCTCTCTCTCTACTCTCTCTCTCTCTCTCTCTCTCTCTCTCTCTCTCTCTCTCTCTCTCTCTCTCTCTCTCTCTCCTCTCTCCCTTCCTCTCTCTCTCCTCTCTCTCTCTCTCTCTCTCTCTCTCTCTTCTCTCTCTCTCTCTCTCTCTCTCTCTCTCTCTCTCTCTCTCTCTCTCTCTCTCTCTCTCTCTCTCTCTTCTCTCTCTCTCTCTCTCTCTCTCTCTCTCTCTCTCTCTCTCTCTCTCTAAAGCCCCTCATGTCAATGACATAAAGACGCGGCTCAGCCTGTCCCTCGAGACAGCGCCTCCCTCAGCCTCGTGTCCTCGTGTCTGACCCCGTGCCTTGTCCTCTGCAGCCGTACTGATCGACGTGACTCACCACGTTCAGAATTCCGGTGTAAAGAACTACGAGATAAAAGTGCGGGACCTCGAAATGTGGGAGGCCCAGTACGGCATACTCCCCGATGGCTGCATCGTGCTCTTTATGACCGGTTGGGGCTCGAAAGTCCGCAACCTGAGGGAGTATTCGGGCCTGGATCGACACAACAAGATCAACTTTCCAGGTGAGGATCTGCGCAGCGGAGACAAGCTCAACTTTCCAGGTGAGGGTTTGGACCCTCTGAGGAGCAGGCAGAACTATCTGGGTGCGGGGCTGGAACACCAAATCAAACTCAACTTCCCAGGTGAGGGTTAGCGTGGCTGGGGTGGCTCTTGTGGGGGGAGGGGAGGGGGTGTGGGCTGAGTGACGTGTGGCTGCGGCGGGGAGCGGGAGGGGGTGTGGGTGTGCTTGTGTGTCTGCGGAACAGGAAGGGTGGGGAGAATGGTAAGGGAGTAAAGGAGAGATATAGTGAAAGACAGAGTGTTCGATTGAGAGAGAGAGAGAGAGAGAGAGAGAGAGAGAGAGAGAGAGAGAGAGAGGAGTGAGAGAGAAAGAAAACCACTGGGTGTGCCCATGTATATATGTGTGCGCATGTGTGCGTGTGCTTATTTGTGAAAGTGAGTAAAAGTTCTGATTAAGGTTGATAACCCTCAACCTCTTTTAGGGAGCTATTCTTGCCCTCTTCCTCTGCCACGCACGTGCAGTTCGTGCTATGGTGCGTGCACGGCCTGTCCTCCAGAGCGACTCCTTCCTCCTTCCTAACAACTGTATATGTACACGCCAAAGTATATTTGCTCAGAGAAATGAGTGACGTGTGGCCTAACCATGTTGGCTTGCGCTAGTTCCCTGAAACTTCAAAGAGATATTGATCTTTCTTTTAATTAAGAATGCCTTGATGATATGTAGAAACTAATTCCCACAGAAAAAAATATATCTATCCATACACACTCAGATTAATGATTTTATGATTCTTCTCTTTTTATTTTTTGACAGAACTGAAGGCGGTGTGTAAATATTTTGGCTATTTTTTTGCAAATGTAAGGACATACTTGACAAAAAAAAAAAAAAAAAAAAACATGATCTTCCAAAGCCATTTCCATAGAGCTAATTCATGTATTTCCAGACCAAGAGGAAGAATGAGGGAGAGAAGGATGGATAGAAAATAAATCCTTGCTTTAGAAATGGTACATTAAAAAAAAAATGCATAAACCTAAATTAGACTGAGATATCTAATGCTGATATTGGATTTAAGGAAGATCAGAGAGTTTCTGATTATGCTACAGGTCGAGAAAGCATTGCTAAGGAAGAGGAACTCGGTTACGTAATACTAAACGGGAGATGATGGAAATAACCTGAATCCATATTTTCTTTGCAATCATGATTTTCCTAGATTAAGCATTGATCAATGCAACTTACATTACTTACATCATTTACCTTGTACTCAGGCTCATTCTCTACGTAAATTCACTATGGCTACTATGAATTCAAGCCAGAGTTGTTTATAAAGTAATTTTTGGCTTAAAGTCTTCAATATATACAGAGCCGTCGGAGATAGTCCAAATATATGCCAAAAAAAGTATGAATGAGAATATTGTCGTAACTTGCCATATACATCTCTCACCCATATCTTTTTCACAAATCACAAATACGCCCGTTTCCTGTCACAATGCACTTAAAATTTTATTTTCCAGTGGCCAACAGCACGTGTGTATTTTGATGTCTTCTCCCCTGGCTATGAACTCTCCATGCATGCTGTTAAGAACAACAAGAACTCTCTTTCAGCAACTCCCGCATGTGTCTGTGCCTTGATCACTAACAATAACCGGATAACAATCGTCTTCCTTTAAATAGTCATGTGAACAACCGTTTGCGTTGGGGACTTGGTTTTCAGGAGAGCAGTTGTCGCAGTTCCACACCAACGAGCTCTCGAGGACACGACTGCACCATAGATCACATTGACACTGTCTCCCTTTCTGCCTCTCTCCCTCACACACATAAGAATCAGCTATGACACGTGTTCAAATGTCAGATATTAAATTTATCGATTCGTGATATGGGCTATTATCATGGGGGCTTGAATTAAAGTTCTTTATTTTTCGATAAATTTTGATAATGGATTTGATGAAATAGGGATGTTGTTCGAGAGTAAAAGCACACGAAGTTATGTTCTTCTGATGAAATGCGATTCTCCTGAATCATTTGGTTTGTTTGTACAATCTTACGTCATGTTTTATATCATACTGGTTTGATATGTATGTATGTTTGCGTGTTTATAGATAGATAAATATATAAGATATATAGATATAGATAGACAGCCATTTGTAGATATAGCTACATGCACACAAACACAAGTACACACAGTAGCATAGTTAAAGCGAGAAGGACGGGAGGGGGGGGGGTGCAACATGACCATGCCTCCAGTGGGGGAAGCGCCCCTATGATAACTTTTTTTTTAAGCTACACTAAAAACCGAGAGATGACTCGGAAATTATATTCTTACTGACGCCATTATTCAGCTTTGTTTTGATGCCGCTAAGAGGCTGTTGTATTTTCAGAATTTGAGTTCATATTAGGGTTGGAATCGCTGTTACTGTTTTTTGTCAAGCCTCGCAAAGCAGTTCAGGGGGTCCTGGAAGGAGCTAAGCTCCTGGGCCCACAAATAGCTAGATATGCCCCTGTGTGTATGCGTATATATGCGTGTGTTTGTATGCCTTTGCATATATTATATAATATAATATATATATATAATATATATATATATATGTGTGTGTGTGTGTGTGTGTGTGTGTGTGTGTGTGTGTGTGTGTGTGTGTGTGTGTGTGTGCGTGCGTGCGTGCGTGCGTGCGTGCGTGCGTGCGTGTGTGTGTGTGTGTGTGTGCGTGCGTGTACGTGCGTGTGTGCGTGTTTGCGTGTACCGTGAACTACATCGCAATACCTGCAGACCCATCCCTTAGGATCGACTGCATCCTCGTGTCCGCCTGCATGAGTCGCTTCTTTCCTCACTGCAATAACCGATCAAATAACCGAACAGCTGCTAGACTGTGCCTGTAACCGCGCTTGCCACCCCCGCCAAGGCCTCTCGCGAACTATGGCATCAAATGACTGTATCAACCACCATTTAACGATAACTTCTGCCTTTCCTAGGAGTGGAATCTGCAGCATCCACCTATTTCACGTTTCGTATTTCTTCACAAAAAAACGGCTTAGTTTCTCAATATCATACAGGATGAATTATACAGTGTGTCTTTATTCCCGGCCTGTTTTTTCAGCTAACCTCACCCGCGACGCCACAGTCCCCCGTCTGACGAAACTGCCCTCTGGAAGTTTCTAAAGCCGGCGCATCCAGCTCGCTCCCTGTCCGTAAGACCAGCCTCTGCTCGCCCGCTGCCTCCGATGCGCATCAGAGACTTCGTTTGTTTTTCTCCACGAAAGCATTTTAACCTGGGAAAGGCTAGTTCACTGGCAACTCGAGGAGGTGTCATGGCGTCTGATTCTATTTTTGGAAAGAGGCGCATGGGGTTTATTTTGATGACGTCACGAATGTTACGGATGCTTTGTGATTATGGCCGATCTTTTTGGAAAATAATGGTTTTAATGGTTATATTTTCATCAATCAATCATCAAAACACATCATGACACCTCTTCGAGTTGCTACTGATCTAGCCCTTCCCATTTAAAACTCCCGGGCTTGGGTCAGCTGATGATAGAACTTTCTTTCATGGCCAAACAGGAGGAAAATAAGCAATATGGACTCCCTTTTCTTCTTCCAAGAATTAGATCATTATCAGAAAAAAAACAAATGAAATGAAAAGACGCTCTTGAATGACCATTTTCCCTTCGACTTCTGCCTCCGTTTTAAATCGGGATGCACCCCAAGGCATCACTCGGTTTCTTCTCCTGCAGCACTTTGTTTTCTTCTTGCCTTGCTTGTGCACTCGGGAAACTTGCGTGCGTGGCCTATATTTCCATATAGTGGGAGGCGTAAATGTGGTCGTGTGTGTGTGTGTTTGTTCGAAAAATATACGTTTGTTTGTGTGATGCGAGTGCCCTGTAACAGTGTGTTCATTGTGGTCTTGTGTTGTTAGTTAACATAACCCTGATCATACCATGAGTCAAATTAGCCAACTCAGTTTAGTACTGCTCAAAAGAATAACATTTTCGATAACCTCTCAGGTGAAAAAGACGAAGAGATAATCACCATTTATTCCTCAAATCTCCTTCCACGGCCATTCTAAAAAGAAATAACGCTCCCCCTTTTCTCTTTACCTTCGCCCCTCCTTCAGGCCTGAGCAAGGGCGCGGCGGAGTGGCTCGCCAACCACGCCAGCCGCTACCACCAGCGCTGGGGCGTGATCGGCGTCGGCATCGACACCCTTTCGCTCGACGTGGGGCAGTCGGTGCGCTACCCGGCCCACGTGGCTCTCTTCGCCAACAACATCTACGGCATCGAGAACCTGGCCAACCTGGATAGGGTAATGGAGCCTGGGTGGAGAGTTCAGGGCCCGTGGCTTGAAGGGCCCAGGCTCTTTGTAAGAATCTCTCTCTCTCTCTCTCTCTCTCTGTCTGTCTGTCTGTCTGTCTGTCTGTCTGTCTGTCTGTCTCTCTCTCTCTCTCTCTCTCTCTCTCTCTCTCTCTCTCTCTCTCTCTCTCTCTCTCTCTCTCTCTCTCTCTCTCTCTATCTGTTTATCTATCTATCTATCTCTTTGTTTATCCATCTTTGAAACTACTTATCTATCCATCTATCTATCCACTTGTTTATCAGTAAAGCAGTCTACTTATCTATCAGTATATTTATATCTGTCTGTCTATCCATCCATCTATACCTGTCTCTCTCTTTCTCTGAATTAACTTTTCAGTTATACCATGCAATATTCTCTTATTAAACAGGCTAGTGGCGTTCGCTACTGCCATGACACATGATGTCAGAGCGGCGCGGCGTCTGCTGTCATACACTAACGCCCCCCCCCCCCCCGCATTAACCCCCTCCGTCTCCCCTCAGCTGCCCCCGACCGGCTTCTACGTGACTGTGATGCCCATTCGCATCGGCGGGGGGAGCGGCGCCCCTGCTCGGGTCCTCGCCGAGGTCAACGAGCCGTACCCGCCGGGGCGGTTCAGCCACTCGCCCGGACCCGTCGCTCCCTCGCTGGCACTCCTGATGCCGGCACTCCTGCTGCTGGCACTGAGGATGAGGGGCCATATAACGGCGTAGAACCTGATATTGTATGCTTTTGTATGTGTGTGTCGGCGTGCGTGTGTTTATCCTCTTTCACAGAATAGTGTGTGTGCTCTACGGGAAAGCAGA